CGCTTGCATTCCACCCGCACAGATGACTGCCTCACCGGTTTGCGAAGGGTGTAGAAGGCGGAGCAGCAACCTGCCATCTGGGTTACCGATGTCAAGCCGCCTGGTGGTAGACAGGCGAGAACGGGCTGCACCCCTGCCACGCCCCTGGGGGCAGAGCAGCCCCTCCACCAGGGCCACACGCACTACTGTGCGGCCCTCCACCTCCTCCAGCACGGCCACATAGTCGCCGTCTGAAAGGTGATCCTCGTCACCCTCGTTCAGCAACATGACAGCCTCACGCATGTCGACACCCCAAAACCTGCCACGGATACGGTCACGGGGTTGACGGGCGATGCAAGCATTGAACCGCCGTGTGAACACGCGCAAGGCCAGCAGTATGCTGACATCACGCGGCCGCTTCAGCAGGCGTCCACGCTCTCCTCCGTCGGAGTCAGACTGTTTGTGTTTCTTGTCCACGCCCAGTTCCCGGCATGCAGCACAAGGTCCTCCGCCCGGCTGCACGACGACAGCGCACAAGGTAGAGCGGATACAGTCCGACTCGCCATAGTAGGCGGGTGGCGCAGTGTCGAGGAAACCTTCAAGTTTGTCCTGAGGTGGAAGGGGCAGGGGACAACGATGCGATTGGGTCCAACAATATCAACGAGTGTCCTGACGTGGTCAACAAAAGTGACCACGTACATGTGACCTTAACACTGGGAAGCCTACCTCTTCAAGCTCAGGAAGCCAATCCACGATGTCCCGGTCGTGTGCAGTGGCACACTCGACGTCCGAACGTTGCATGACGCCCTGTAGGTCAGATCCATAGAGCGCAGCAAGCTCTGGGCCCCGGAGCCCAGGGCATAGGACCGACTCCGCAATGGAAGCCTTCCGCGTTAAAGACCGGGTCGTGAAAGGCTGGTTCGTCACAAGCGCTGACGCGGGCACACGGAGAGGTTTCGCCATGAGGCCAGCTTTGTCTAGTGCAGCATTGAAGACTGCCTCCGGGCTCCCTTCGGCTGTGGAACTGGTTATCCATCGAGTCCGACAACAGCCGAGAGCACACGATACACGTGCTACAGGCGGAATATGTACCAATATTGATAGGTGCGAGCAGCAGCATGTTGTCAAAGGGTGATGCCGTCTGCAAGCTAAGCAAGGCACGGGCCTGTCGATGGTGAGGGCCATTGGCTCACACGTACGAGTCGGCACAAACAGCCTTAAAAGCCAAACGGTGTAGTATCTTAGGTGTCATAGTTCGCGATGATTATTGTACGCTTGCGATTGGTAAGTGCTACGCAGTCTACTTGAATTCCTTAAGGGAGGGATCAAACATGGTCTTAGTATGGTTCACATAAAAACCACATGGTCGTATGAATGGATTGAATGTGGCAACAGCAATCTAGGAATATTGTTACTGTCTGCTTTTCGCAAAGGCCGCCTTAGTTTGGTATCGGGGTGCCGTACGTTTAATTTACAAGGAGCTGCATGCAAGGAACTGCTTTGCGGGTTCTCCTCTGATAGACTCTCTACGTACCCCAACTGAAACGGGTTACATAACTTTTGTTTGTCTAATGAAACTGACTCTCGTGTTCTGAGGATGTCTGACCCTTCCGGACTTTCCGAACCGTCCTTGGACACCGGCGACGACGAGGGTGTCACGTCACATTCACGAGGAAAAGCTATGGTTTCATCCTGGTCAGAGCAGGTAGGTTGGCGCGACTGACAGCACTTGTGAGCCACTGGCTCACATTGACAAAATGGCTACCGAGGAATGGAAGTGTTTACCTTGCTTCGAGTTGAGGAAGTAA